TAACAGGGCACTGTGCAAAATGTCTGTCAAAAAGTCAAGGGAGGAACACTCATAAACACATCAGAAAGAGGAAACCCACAGAGAACTGCAGGATTGCAAGGGAGTATCTGAGGTGGAAGAAAGGCAAAGAAGATGCACGAGCCAAAGCCTCTACTGGTGTAAATGGCTGAAGTCCATTGAGTTCACTGTGCCAGTTTGAATCTGGGGAGAATTTGGATGTGCCAGCTCAGTCCGATGCAGATGGCACTGGAGCTACCCAGGTCAGAGCCAGAGTCTGTTTGCTGGCAGGAAAACAGGAGCTGGGAAAACCACTACGGACAAAACCAGACCTGAACAACTGGTGTGTGCAACTGCCTTGGCTTCCTCTTCCCCCTCTCCCTAAATTTGACACTAAAGACTTATTTAACTGTTTTGAGAAAAAAGATTAAGGAAAATTATAAAAGAGAGCGTTTATGAGGAAATTTTAGGACTTAATCTCCTTCATTTTCCAATGTACTAATTAAGGTTTTTTCCTATCAGGTAGGACACGCACAATTTTCTCTCTGTGTTCTTTTCACATGTACCATCTGCTGAGTCCTCTTACTGAGCCCTCTCCAGAGCTTCTTCTCAGCTCCACTGCTCTCAGATGACCAAGGACAACACTTCATTACCAGCCCTTTACCAATCTCTCTGCAGAGGCCAAAAAATCAGAGCTTAAAAATTGCTTATATTGCTTTGAACTTTGTGTAAAGTTTCACAGAGCTCACTGTGTGTTGAGGTTCTCTGAGCAAACAGAGAACTCACTTATCCTGCTAATCAACCAAACCCAAGTCCTCCTCTCCACGAAGTGGCACACCAGCTGCTGGCTGGCAGGAAACAACAGAGCTCCCCATTTTCCTCTCCCATCAGATACCAGCCTCAGCACAGTCAGGAAAAAAGCACAAGCCTTGAGACTTTTGGTTTTGTTAGCACCACACTTGTGGAAAACTTGTATTTGTAAGTGTGAGCTGATGTTGGTCTCCCTTGCAGAGCACAGCAGCAATAAGGGTTTCTAAGCTCCCCACAGATTATCCCCCTCCTTCCACCTGCTCCACTTCTTTAGGTACCTGCCATGAGTCCTGCTGCCCTCTTCAGCCATTTTTTCTGACCATCATCTTCCTGGTGTTGTTATCTTACACACTGCTGTCCAAAACTCCTCTGGAGAATTCCACTTAGGATTTTATGGGAACTCCTTCCTAGATCAACAGCCACTTGCCACATCCCCTTCACAGATGTCACTACAGACAATTGTATCTCTGTTTATTTAAACTTCAGCCCAACTCACTTGGTCTCCAAGGAAACCTGTGCAGTTTCCATGCTCTTAGCTATGAATTCCAGCACCTGCTGGGCAATGAGCTGCAGGGTAAAGGGTCAAGATTGTATAATTTAGTGATCCCTCTTTTGCCACAGAACAAACAAGTTTTCTCTGTGCATGAAAATGTTTGAGTGGAAGCAGGACAGGTGATTGTAAACTCTCTTCTGGCCACCTGTTGGAATCTCAGTAGCCTGCACATCACTCTTGTGTCTCACCACCTCTTCCTCCTCCTTCCTTCTTCCATGGCGTTGCTTCCTTTCATGGAATTCCTTTCTTCAGATATGGAGAAGCTAAACTTCAGCTCATCTCCTCCTAACCCAACTATTTCCACGATTTACTGCTGCTATAGCTGGGCCACACAAAGCTGGAGATGTTTAACCGCTGTGCATGAGCCAGAGAAATCACTGTCCAAGAAAAAAACTGCCACAAGGGGTAAACAGAAAAACACAACACCAAAATACCTGAACAAATCATTGATTACTAGTTTATAACCTGGGCTATTCAAAGAACAGCTCCTTACACCGATTTTTGAGGAATGTGCTGTTAATACACCTTGAAATATCCTTTGGGTTTTCTACCAAGAAGACACTGCAGTGTGTGCTCCTCATCTGCTGAGGAATGAAACCCCTCATCCTCTGCCAAAGCAGACTCAGGCACACACAGATGCAAGGATAGGATGTGTTTTGCTCGTCTGTTTATTTGTTTAAGCTTGGAGCCCACCCACTAGCCCAGACATTCATTTTTCAGCCTGTTTCAATTCTTTGATTTGCTAACTAGGAAATCAAACAGAAGGTGGGAGTAGAAATGAGTAGGTGGGAACCAGAGCAGTCAGAAGTTTTTAGAATGTTATTCTAAGACCTTAAAAATCTGAAAATTGGAAGTAGATTTAAAAAAATTACAGTTAACTTCTCATTTTTCAGACACTTTTTTTTTCAGAATTCTGACTCTGACCAAGCCTTATCTGTCTGTAAGTTATTCCTCTGAAGGATTTAGTCAAAATCCTTTAAAACCTCAATGAAAATAGGCACAAAAAGGCCAGCTGGAGTCTGGATAGTGGTTTAGCTCTAAAAGATGTTCAAACTTCACAATCTAAACAAAATATTTACTAGTAATATCTCACCTTATTATCATGAATTGAGAGTAAATTGAAATTCCATGCAACTGAATAGGCTAATCACATACACATACACATACTTTAAAATCTAGGCTTTTCATGTTCTTAAGTATAAGCAATTAAGGGTAAGAGTAACGTTTCATAATTATGTCATTGATCTCAATTCCTTTTCATTTTCTTATAAAAGCACTAAACTTACATAAGAAACATCTGAGGTCGCTCCTGTTGCTCAGATCCACATTTGTTCTAATCAAATATTCACCTCATGAATGTTTTGGGTTTGTTTTTTTTTTGGCTTGTTTTGGGTTTGTTTTATTTTTCTGTTTTTGCCTTCACATGAAATAAAAATTTGAAAAGTCTGAATGTATCATTAACTTTGAAAAAAATGCTAAAAACTCATTTAAAAAAGAAAAAAAAGTCACAGGGAGCTATGGGAAATTCTGTCTTAGGCTGGCCTACTAATTAAAATCAACTATGCCACATTATTTCCACTGTTCAAAAGTATCCGCCTACAGATCTAAAATCTTTTCCGAATGATTAAAATCAGGAATAAAAAACCCCAAATCTCTTCCCTCTTTCATGTGGAGCCACACAGAACACACTTTTGCAGCTTTCAGAGTCCATTAAAGCATCACCTTTGAAAACAGATGCACAAGCAGGCCCGGGAGTGATTTATGCAAGCGGGAGGCTCAGAACTGCCAGCGACTCCTCATGTTCAAAGCACCCCCAGCAGGCTCAGCAAGGTCCACTTTGGATCACTTGTAATGAGGATTCTTCAGACCAGAAAATCAATAATATAATTAGTAAATGGTATGTTATTTCTCAGAATCTTGCTGCAACTTATCTGCCTTTGATCAAGCCGAGTTGACTGCTAATGACATTTAATATTAATTAATGAAAATGCATGTGATAAAAAGTTCTTTGGAGAATTATCTAATTATGTACCACAAAAAAATGAAGTCTGCAATTTATGTTTAGATCAATGACTATTGTTTAGGCCACTCTGAGAAGACATTGGGGTTATGAGTTATCTTTAGCTTTGCTTTCTCCTGCCTGTCAGAGCCACTTAGAGCAGATGAGCCACGTCCTTAATGAGCTTTGTCTCATTAACAATGCCAAGGGCTGCAGGTAAATCCTTCCCCAGTTCTGGGACAGCACCTACGGAATATTTGATGAAATTCACTTCTCTTTTGACAGTGGATGATTGACAGCAAACCATCACGACTGAAGGTACTGACAAAATAAATAACTCTGGAGATTAAGCAGGATTTCAAAGGAACAACTGCAATCCTTAGGGAACAACGATTACAGAAAGGCAAAGTATTTCATTAACTCATAGAAATGCAGCACTTTGCTACTTCTCACTTTGACTGCCTGAGACCCCAGCTACTGAGAAACATTTACATTTAAAAATATTCCAGTTTGATGTAACTTGTCTAAGTAACTCATGATTGTCAGGCACAGGAGAAAGGCAATGGGAAATTTTTCATTATTATGAAACACTGCAGGATTCACCAGAAACATTGTACCTGGTTTAATAAATCTCATTCTAAACTAAAAAGGAAGGATGGAATAAATGCATTATGTTAACACCATAGGGCAGGTTCTATTAGGTCCCATTTCCCAAGACATTTTGGCTTTTTGAAAATATAAATTGGGAAATATATATTCTAATGCTCTTGCTTTATATCAGCCATGTATAGTAACTGACCCCTGGGTTTGGGAGATTATTCTAATCCCATAATCTGAGTACACAACTGATTTGCCAAGGTACTCACCTTTTCCAGCACAGGTGAGTAAAAAAGGAACAGCTGTCGTATTATCTCACTCTTCTGTCTAATAACCATACAGAGAAGTATAATAATACTCAGAAATTGTCAGTGTTCTTACAGCAGCTCCATCAATTCCACATTGGACATTCCCTGTTGCTCACTGGCACACTCTTGTCAGTGTGAGTGGGGAATACTGAATTTAGAAGTAAACAAAGGTTTTCAATTATCTGAATTCCTGGGAAAAAATTATAAACTTGCTTCATCTCTCCCAGTTTGGTTTCTTTTGAAAGGCAACGTGTGAAATTGCTGAGAGCAGAACATTGGCTAAATAGGTGCCACTTGTTCTTGCCCCAGATGTGAAGGAGCTGGTTGCTCTCAATGCAAAGTGATTAATGATTGCTTGCAATCAGCCCTGGAAATCATTGGCATTGAGTGACAGAATATTCTGTGACATCACACAGCCTCACATCTGATGCTTGTTCTCGGCCACGTTGCTCCTCGTGCTGCCATTTTTGGCACTGGGAGTGAGCTCAAAAAAATTATGGCCTTTATGATGTTCATGAATAAACAAGTTCTCACATGAGAGAGGTTTCTATTTCTTTCTGCCAGATTTATTCTTCTGTTCACTCATGACCTCTCCCATCCCCACTCTGCCTTGTAGGAGCACTGCTTTGTACAAAGGTTCTGACATTTTTTCCTCTCTGCACAAAAATACCTCATTGAATCAGTCCTGGAACACCTGACTGCAACCAGATCTCTGTTCTCCTCTGTCATATCCAAATGATGAGCCTCTACCTCACAGCAAAGACTGTTTATTTTAGTTAATTGCAGTTAATCTTTGTAGTTGCTGTGTTAAATTTCTTGCTGTTTTTACAGTGCACTAGGTCATCCAGTTCTTCCTCTATTAAAACCCACTGATACTGAGAAGCTCATTAGTCCCCCAGACTAATCATGGAGTGCCATTTGAGCAAGCAAGGAACAGGCAAGAACTCTGACATCTTAAAGCTTTCCCAGCTGAAACCCCCAAAACATAATAAATAAGGGAAAAATGCAAAGGATTCTAGGGTCAAGCATTCAAGTCACCAAATTCTTCTTAATCCCATCAAGTTGTCTTTTATCATCAAAACTTTAGATCTAGAAAATAGAAATACAACCTCTGGGCTTTGCATTCATATTAATTAGAGGCTAAAGAGAATTTCATTAAGAAATAGCTGGATGCTCATAATTCAGTGTATAAAAGTGAAACTCAGTTTGATAAATGTGCTCCCTGTATTTCATAATTTGCAGTTTGCTTCAGTGAAAGGTGTACAAGCATAAACAACAGGGAAGACTCCTGCTTGGTAAATAACTCGTGGAAATTTTTAGAGAGGTTTTTTGGCTCAGTCTGCAGTGGGCCCTTGTGCTCAGTGCCCAGCACGACCAGTATGACCAGTATGACCAGTATGACCAGTATGACCAGCACAGGGCAGCTGCTGAGTGCTGGGAACCACAGCAGCAATGACACCTTGGAAGGAAATGATGTTTAAGTCTCAGAAAAAGATGGAACAACATCGTAAGTGTCAGAGCAATTTTCCACCTTGGTAGCTGAACACCTGAACTATTGCTTGTTTTTGCAGTGGGATTATTCCCAGTTTCTCTCTGCTCAGCTCTGAATCAGCTCGGAGATGTGTCATAAACAATGTTTGCCTCAAAGAGCCACGTGGGCCAGCGCTGAGGAGGGAATTAATGAGGAGACAGTAGTTCCATAAAAAAATAAAAATAAAGAGTTTGGTTCTTTTTCTGTAAACATCTGGGTTGTAAATAACTGTAAGCAGGATAGCATTAGACTGCCTCTGACTTAACAGCATAAAGATTGAGTTCTTAATTTTAATTTAAAGCCACCATAATTTTCAGTTTGCATAGGAACATAATCTTATAGTCTGGTAGCAGGTACCTCAGAAATGTAGCACAAATTGCAATATTCTTACACTTTTCACAGGAAAAACTGAGTAAAAATCTGTATTTGTTAGGAATTGTTAAAGGATTTTCCTAGTTCAGTAGCAGTGCACAAAGAAAGTTTAATTTCAAGATAAAAACCCAAACATCTTATTTAATATATCAATTTTCCAGATTCAAAACAGCTTAATTATTTTCATGGTCTAAAAGAAATCTTAAAAAAATGTGAGGTATAAAAGAATAATTTGTTTCCAATGGTTAATCCTTCAAAAGGTCACAGGGAAAGAGACTCAGGATTCAGAAATCATTAATGGTGGAACAATTGCTGAGTTCTGTTCCTAGGAACAAAAACATAGGCTACAACTGGCTCCCAGAGGCAGGTGAGTTCTGGCTGACCTGCCAGGAGGGCTCTGAAAAGGCTCATTCAGAATCTAATCAAACTGCTGGTGTGGGGAAGATAAGGCTTGAGTATAATATTCCAGAAAATACTCTTTAAATGGTTCCAGTCACATTTTTCTACTTGATGTCTCTCTTCAAGCTATTTTGATTCCTGTTTTCATTTTCCTGGAACTGCCCTCGAAGAGCCAAGTGAGTCAGTGCCTGACACCCCCAACCCCAGTGCCCAGGCAGGGATGGATGTGCAAGAAGAGGATCTGTGAGGAGCTGACCCCTGTGAGGTGTCAGCCCAGGGATGTGGTGAACATCCACATCCCACACCTTGCTCAAGCCCAGGGGGGTAAAACCTGGCCTTAGCAAAAATACAGGGGAACACAAGGCAAAGAACACCAACTGCCAGTTCAACCTCTAGGGAAAAAATATCCTTGCAGGAGCCTGAAGTGTCCCATGGCTGTGCTGGTGGGAAGCCAGGCTGTCCTCGCTCCTGAGGAGGAAAATGCTTTCACTCCCTGTGGATGCTGGCATGGAACCCTAAGGATACTCAGTGTCTCTTCATTTTGTTGGAAAATATTGAGCAGAAAAAACACAGCTCTAATACAATTTTTCTTTACCTCACTCCTAAGGAATCCAGCAGAGTCCTGAAAAAGCAAGCCCACCTGTGTGATCTCTTTCTTTCTCTGATGTGGGTGATAAGCCAGAAAGTTGTTGGGCACCAGGCCAGGGGGAGGGAGCAGGGACAAAGAAATGAATGAGAGTAGAGGTAATTATAGCACTTATTTCGATTAGGTGCAGATCACCAATGAACTCTTTTGCCACTTGTTTTCTCCTCAGGGAAATCTCACTTTCCCAGCTTTAATTTAATCATGGGAAAAATATGTCAAATATTGATTATAACTAGAAACTGAAGTCTACTACAAGCATGTTCACATTAACACTTTCACTCAGACATGACCTGAAGAAATCCTCTGTTTGTCTTTCTTCCTTCCTGATTCCTGAACAGACTGTCTTACAGAGAACAGCATGTTCAAACTTACAAACATCAGTATGGGTGATGAAAAGTCCAGGAGGGAATATGTTAAACCACTAAATTTATGTTGCTTGTGATTCTAAGTGTAACCAAAAGACACATCTTACAGCTCTGAGAGCAGAACACAATAAAGCCTCTGAGGAAGTGCTGCATATCAACACAGATTTCAATTTATTGCAGTTTGAAATAATACTCCAGACAAGTCCAAAAGGCAGAGAATTTTTCAGAAACGCTGTGAAAATCCTAAATGGGTGCTGTTTGTTCATGACCCTTGAGAAATGAAAGAAACTGTGACACACAGTCACAATGCATTAGACTGGAAAACAGGAACAGGAAATTAATGGAAGATTCTAAAAGTGACCCTCTGCCACTCCTCCACACCTGCCCACCCAGGCCACACTCTGCCCTTTGTTCTTTTGTCCATTCCAGACTCACATGGATGGCACATTTTGAAACTCAGCAGTATTAGAGAATGGCAATACATAGTTTCAAGTCCCTGAGAAAGTTCCCAAGATGTCAAAGATTTGAAATTAATTCAGATCTTTTAGAGGAGAAGTAAGAGTGGATGCTTTACCACACACCTGTCTATAATAGTTTATGTCGTACTGCAGCCCCTAAACTCATTTAAAGAGGCAGGGATTAATACCCCTGGCCTAAATCAAGAACAGACCTGTGAAACTGAGTCAGTTCCCACCCAAATTGCCAACTGGAGATGGGCAGCCCTTCTCCTGTGAGCAGGAGCTCTCCCTCCTCCAAGGCAGTGCACAAGCTCTGACAGAGTTTGGTATTTTGGGATTAAGGAAGGCTGTGCTCAGCCAGCCCTCACTCTGCTTGCTGTGAGCCCAGCTCAGAGCAGGTGTCAGGGTGACACTGGGCTCTGTGTGCCCCCAGAGAAGCCTGCACAGCACAGCCCCTTCTGGAACTGCTCTTGCATTCTGCAGGTCATGCAATACAGCCTTTTATTGCTTTATCTGTACCTCTGTCAGGAAAAATCTTTCAGAGCAAACTCAAAGGAAAAACAACCAGCTTTGCAGAACCTCACTGAAGACATTCAATGGCTGAACAGTTCTACTTAGATTAAATTAACTTTATACAGCCTGGTTTTACTCACAAGTCCTACTTGATTTGGAAAAATCCAGGATTAACAGTATTATGCCTAAACCTGTAGCTGCAGAATGTGATCTCTGTGTTCAGTAGGAGATGCCTTCCAAGCCTCAGCAACTACAGAAAGGGAGAAAGCTGATTTCAGATAATATTTGAGTCCCACATACAACCAGGAAAGCTCAGGAAAATTTCTCCAGAGACACAAAATAACAGCTAGTCACATATTCTGATTTTACAGACATAGACTTTCTGGAAATCTCCTGGAATAACAAACATTTTCCCCCTAACCACTCAGTCAGCTGTAAGAAGAACTAGAGAAAGTTCCTGAATATTCTGCCCATGGTTTTGGTTTGAGTTACTAAGTAATGACATTGTTAGAGAGATTAATGTTAGAGCTTAACTGCTCCTTTAGCACCTGTCCAGTTCATGCCTGACAGAGGAAGATAAATATATTTATAACACACAGCAAAGTGAATAACAAAGGGTTTATAAAGTTGTCTCTGACAAAACTGACAAGTTGTAGCTGGCAGCTTTAATCAGCTCCCAGCTGAGCCTGGGAAATTGGAGGGAACTGAGCACTGACCTTTCTGATGAATCTCTGAAGGAAGGTTAAAGTTTTGTTTACTTTTTTAATGGGCAGAGCTATCAAGTTCTGAGACCTTTGGATAAAAGGAGGATTCCTGTGCAAGAGCACTGTACACTGTATTTAACAAAGTCATTACTGGGTTAAAACTGATTTTTTCCAGTGAAGGATATGGCCCAGTGTTCCAGGGATGAAAGTTCCTATAGTGCCACAAATAACTGCCAGATGCTGGAAATGTACTAGATACGTTTTTCATGTCTTGAATGTGAAAAATGCAGTAGAATGTAATTTAAATTTCACTTTTACAGATCAGTGGTTCTTAAACCACCAATTTGATTTATTTTTCAACAAGTATTCAGCTCCAGCTTCTTTAGTATGGAAACAGTGGGATCTTTCATGTACATTTATTTAACTAGTACCAAGAAGACAAATTCTTGTTAATGACCAATTATTTGTTCAGCTTTTTCAAAGTAAGCTATAATTTATTATATTGCAGTATGTATAAAATCCTAAACCATCACTCTCTTAAAAGTGAATTCCTTGGAGCCCTGTCTGAGGATTGAGAGATCCAGCAGCACTTCCCAAATGTTTCACCTTACAGTGCACACCCCACTGCAGCTGCTGCCCAACTGACACCACAGGGGACTTGGTTTTTCCAAAAGCCAAAATTGTTTTCTGATTAACAGCATTCTATCACAAAAGTGTCTGCTCTTGTTGCTGACTCAAGTGTCTACTCCATAGGAACAGCTGATACAGAGACCTCACAAAAGTTTAGGAAGGTTGGTAAATCAGGACCAAGGAGGGTTTTGCAGCAAACAAGCTGCAAACCTTTTACTTCTTCACAACTAATTCACTGATTGCTTTCTGTCCACTACCTGCTAAAAAATGATCCCCCAGCTCTAAATCATCAGCACACATGGACTCACAGCCCTCCAAAGCTGTTTGTGAACCAGTCACTGTACAATTTTTCAAGCAGCACTGAAGGAACTTGGGCATTGATTTTTTCCAGAGCTGTACAGGATACACCTGAATGTCCATCAACAACGCTTACACCAGTAAAATACCTCCATGTTCTAGTTTGCTTTTTATTTTCCTGTGGTTCTGCTTCAATGGTTTCTACCTGGTAGCAGTGGCAGACACTGAAATTTGGTTTTAGATCTGGACCATCCAAATTTGTGTGTACAGTGTTACATGAACATTATACACACCTGTAATGTATAAGCATAAACATGAGCATGATAAAAACACTTCCTTCTGTTTGACATCTGTGGAATTATTCAACTGGACCAGTTATTTAAAGGGAAGATGACAAAGGACCTCATGGCACACAACTGCTGTAATGGAAAGGCCCTGACTGTAATTAAACCTTTTCTGTTCTCACACGTTTTGTTCAGAAATGTTTCCAGGGCATTTGTTTAATGGTGAGGGGAAATAATTTAAACTTCCCTTGTGAGATAAGGCTGTGCTGTACTCTCAGAGTGAAGGGTACGAGGATCAGGGCCAGGCTGGATGGAGCTTGGAGCAGCCTGGTCTAGAGGAAACTGGGATTGGAACAAGAGGGTGTTGAAGGTCCCTTCCAACCCAAACCATTCCGTGGACTCTGTGACCACTGAGAGGTAAAAAACCACATAAATGGAGCCCAGTTCCTGCTGCTCTCAGAGAAAGGCTCTGTTTCCTCAGCAGCAGAAAACAGCCAGTGAATTATATCCTCTCTGCAAGCATGAGACAACCCACACACTGCTGAAAAGTTTTTATAAATTGTGATGGATGACTCTGGAGCTTCTTCTGCCTGCTCCTGCACACGAGAACAAGGATCAGCTGATGAAATTAAAAGGGAACATAGAAGTTGCATTAACAAAAAATAGATGTTTATACTACTACAAAATTAATATGTTGGCATTGCAGATCTATATCCTCATTTAGCTGAGTTACAATCATTAAAATATACAAACAATATTATTAATATCATGGTAGGATATCAGTCAAAACCTTCCCCACCACCTAGAGCATAATAAAAAAAACCAAGTGGATTTTACACTAATAAATCTCTTAGAGTGTGGGTCAGAAATAATTTATATATATATATAATCAATATATAAATAATTAGGATTCTGGTTTATGGTTGAAGGAATTCACATCCTGATAGAGAAATGTAGGAGAATTGGAGCACTTCTTCAGCTGATAAAATCACCATATTGTCACTATCACTGCTGGTTCATAGCACCTGCAAAGTTGAAAATATTATAGAAATAAAAAGAGATTTAAAAAATGCTACATTTAGTCAAAGCAGCAGTCCAAGTAGTTCAGATCCCTTACTATTCACATGCTGGAGGCATGCAAGTGAATCTGGACTAGAAAACAGTGGATAATTTTTCTCATTTGCCTGATTTTTCATACAAATTCTGCCAAATGAGGTATTCACAGCATCCCACTGAATCTCACCTCTGAGGTATTCACAGCATCCCAGAGTGGTGTGGGTGGGAAGGGACCTTAAAGCCCATCCAGTGCCACCCCTGCCATGGGCAGGGGCACCTTCCATCATCCCAGGCTGCTCCAAGCCCCATCCAGCCTGGCCTTGGATGTTCCCCTTCCCTGACCCAGGTACAGGACCTTGCACCTTGGTCAAGTGCTGTTTCACATCTTCCCTTTTCATCTTTGTGTAACTTACATTTCATTTGAGTTACAAGAGAAACCAATTTGAATGTCTGATCCATGCACTTCAGACTGCTCATCATTTATTATATAAATTTACTACCCATTTCTATTCTAATGTGAGCAATTTCTAGCTCTTCAACAGGCTAAAAAGCGTTTTGCTACATTTCAAAGCATTCCTGTCACATCTGTAGGACTCATTCAGCTGCTAGAGCAGCAACATTTTGAAACTTTATTTGCAAAATAGATTTATTTCTTATCTAAATTGTGTTGTTCAAAATGCA